AGAGGAGAGAGAGAGAGAGAGAGGGAGAGAGACATTTATCAAAAATAGAGAAAAAAAAAGGGAAAAATCCAAGGAGAGATACTGATTGCTTTCTGCTAATACTTCAGTGACAGTTTGATATACATTTTATTGAAAACATTCTCCAAACAAAAGAAAAATTCGAAACTTTTTGCGCACACAACATTGTTTTCAAATGATAGTGCAGGAAAATATGTAAAATGGAAAATGATAAGGTGGTTGAAATTTTCTCAGTTTTGACTGGATTGCAGTTATGTCATGCAGTAATGTCACATGCAACATGCAAGAATTACTACACTTGAGATCAAATTACCGTAATTTGATCTAAAATGTAATAACAGATATTACATGTGTAAAATATATAACATCTATCAGTCATTATTTTGCTATTTTTTTGTCGTTTATACCAGAAAAAAAAAAAGAAAATAGCAAATACTAATTTACTTTGATAATAAAGGCCAGATATAAACAATTAATTAATCTAATAGCCTTATATATTTCTCACAAAGTTCAATTTAGTTTTCTCTTACCTAACATTTTTGCATTTTAATTTAATACTGCTAACTTATAAAGAATTAATTAGATGATACATTTGAGGTATAATAAGTGATAAGGAATGTTAAGGGAAGTGATGATATTGGATAGTTGACACAATTAAATATGTAAATATATTATTTTTGATTTCTAAAGATCATTTTTCTTACACGATATTCCATTGTTGAATTGTGAAATGGGACGAAAGATATTTTGATAAAGTAAGAATAGAATAGCAGAGAATGAATGATAGACAACTTTTGTTCCATTCATTGGAGAGATTCTGGCACTATTCGATTTCATAAAATATTATGATAAGTTTTTCAAGCATGGGAAAAGATTTTTGTCCAGCTAAAATTGAACGTATCTGATTCATATTTAATGCAAACGTGTCATCTATTCCATTGGGTGATTCGAAGGGGGGAAGGATGAAATTGTGAGAGTTTGAAATAAATTTTAAGCTCCTTTGAATCATCCAATATATCATTGTGAAAAGTTTCCCTTCATTTTTATATTTTATTTTTTAATATACCAAGCATTATAAGAGGAAAAAGGGGAAGAAGAAGACGTTTACCAACAAAACTGTCACTTAGAAAAGTGCACCAAAACCTTTAAAAAGGTTCTTTTCAAAGATTTCAACTTTAAAATATGCAAATATGAGAACAATTCATTGAGCAAATACGGTATATTATTTGAAATGAAACTTTTATCAATAAAATTTTATTTGGTGTCAATAAAACGGATATTATTGCCATTGTAATCAATCGCAACAAGATAGCCGTAAAATATTTCGAGAAATAGAAAGATTGATGAAAAATATAGTAAATGGAATTATGAAAGGTTTGAAATGTTCTTAAATAAAACTGATTTAAATTGGACGATTAGAAAGAATATGCCTACTAAAAGTGAAACTCGTCATTATCATCAACCTTAATTACAATATTTTAGTGAAGGAGAGGGATTTGATAAATTTTCAAAATTTTCAGCCACTCATCATTAGATTTCAA